ATTATTGGATCGTCATTATTTCAGAGAAACGGGTACTTGTGCACATACTTAAACACTGATTATAGTATTTTAACCCTTGGACCAGTACAAGAAGGTTGTTGTGCACAATAACAACAGAGAGCAGCAGCCAGAGCCTTGGACAAACACAACATATTGAAAGCCACAGATGTGTTAGAATCACTGAGGGCTCTGTTGGTTCTGGCTTTAGATGAAGAAACAGCTCGTCTCTCCCTGGTTATCACAGGCTATAATCCTCATTTAAACAAGCACACTCATATAGATTAATAAATGTGTTCATATAGAGAAAATTCAACATAGTGTGGGAGGACATCTTTAATCCTCACATCTGAACCTTTGGGTGTGCTCATGCCAATCAAGTTCAGTACTTGACCTCATCACCTCCCTCACGTATGAGGCCGAAGGCCAGCCTCCCTCAGGCCCTGTGTGTGAGCTGAATGGCAAGGGCTGGTATTTGTGACCATGCAGAGGGAAGGGCCAGGCCATCTGGTAGCAGCCCTCACAGCTGGAACACATGGCTGTACTTTGACAAGGTGTAATGACTGCTTGTGGTTTTGTAGCAGTGATAACAGAATATCTAAATAGTTTTAATAATAATCTTGTAAACAATAGAGGCATCTCTTTTGTAGAATCTGTTGTTATGGCATCAAATGTATTTGAGAATGCCATCTATCCATCCATCTACTATACTTCTGAACCTGCTGAGTGTCACGTGGTAGAAGCGAGAGGATGGGTACACTCTGGGTAGGTCATCAATCCATCACAAGGCTAACACACACACAAACCGACAAATACATTCCCATTCACACCTAGAGGTCATCTGGAGTTCCTAGTGCACTTAACTTGTGAGTTGAACTGCTGGAGAGCAGAACATGCAAACTACAGAAAAAAAGGCAAATAAAACTAGACAGCACTCAGAGAGTGCAGACCTCCGCCAAGGCAGAACAGTTTTCCCATAATGCCATTTTTAAAAAATCAGGATGATTTGGATCACCACCAAAATCTAATGGATTGTTCAGGGGGCCATACTCTACCTCAACAAAAGCATTCATCAAAACCTCTTCATTTTTCCTTTTGAGTTATGCTGTGAACAAACACACATCTTGTTTTTATGTTTGCCAATTTAATGCTGTAAAACAGGTTTGCTATTTTCTCCGTGCTGACCGTGTCTTGTATTCCCGGCCCCAGAATCATTTTGTCAGTGCGCAAATGTTTAATAATCTTATTATACCACAATTCACAACTTGTAAACAACAGCAGAATCTCTTCACACTCAAGGCAATCATCTCTGATATCAACATTCTGATTTCAAAAATCCAAAGTTAAGCCAGCCAGGTGCCATAGTGTGTCAACAGATAAACACAGAAACAAGTGGGGAAACTGTAATATGAGGATGCCTTATGTTCTGTATCCCCACTATATCAAGCAGATATTATTTATCCTCAACCACATACAGAAGCTTAATAACTGTAAACAAGGTCACAGTGCTTGAATGATGTTTTTC